TAGACGTACATGTACACGTGTACGTACACGCACACGCATACGTACATGTACATGTACATGTACACGCACACGCACACGCACACGCACATGCACACGCACACGCACTTGCACACGCACGCGCACACGCACACGCACACGCACACGCACACGCACACACACACGCACACAAAAACGCACACGCACACGCACACATTCACGCACACGCGCACGCACAAACGCACACGCACACGCACACCCGCGCACATACCACGCACACCACACACCGCACACACACACACACACGCACACATGCACACACGCACACGCACTTGCACACACGCACACGCACACGCACACACGCGCACGCACCCGCACACGCACACGCACACGCACACGCACACACATACACACGCACACGCACACGCACACACACACACACACACACGCGCACGCACACGCACACGCACACGCACACGCACACAACACAATCACACACACGCACGGCACGCTGTTTGAATGGCACCCATCCTCCTAGATTGGCCTATGCCCGGCACTGGGCGTAATCACGCTCACACGATGCGTGAACAACATACCGCACGGTGTGGGTATGTGTGCGTGGGTTGTTTCTCCTTATCCCCATTGACTCCCATGCTGCCTGCGGTTAGCCGCCCGCTGGAAACCGTGTCGACGTCGCGCGTGGCGCTGCGTGAAATCAGCCAGTGTGCGGCCCAGTCGTGCTCTCGCGAAAGTGACGTCACTTCGCTGGCGGAGCTCGCGACAGTGACGTCACTTCGCTGGTGGAGGAAGGTGTGTGTGTGTGCATGTTCCTCGTCTTGCTGCCGAGGACGCTGCCGATCAGTTCACTGCAGGCGCGCTGCTGCCTGGAAGCGCATGCCAGTCGTGCCCGTTCTCGGGCACCGCACGTCGCATGGCCAGCGCCGCCGGCAGGAAACGATTTCCGAGCGTGCCCGGTCGGTCATGGCGCGCATCACCAGACTCAAGTCGGGCCTGTCCCTCTACAGGAGGATAATAAAAATAATATGGGGACTACTGTTTGATCATTTTTTGACCATTTGGGAGTATGCTTTGACTATGTTTCATTTTTCCTCCAGAATCCCCCTGCAGGGGGACAGGCCCGACCTAACACCAGACCAGCATTTCTGCCAAGAAGCTCACTTCACGCGTGCCCGCTCGCGCGCGATGGTCATCGCGCTGCCAGGGTTGGTGCCGGGAAGCTCAGTCCGAGCCTGCCTGCTCGCTTTCAGCACGCCTTGGCTTGCTCAGAAGGGTTAGCTGGGGTTGGCCAGGGGGTGGCGACGGCAATTCTTATGTAAGCAGTTCTTGCCAGACGATCTAACGTTCTTATGTTATGATCCTTATTCTCCTAAAATGTGTCCCTGGCCCAGGGTGCCCTTGAGATTTCCAAGGAGGACCCACGGCCCCCAGAGCAAGTCTAACGAGGCCCACAGGGCCCCAGGGTCTGCAGCATTTCAGCGCGAAGCCAGCACCTTTGGGGTGAACCAGCGCTTTCTCGAACAGAAGCACGGGTTGGTAGCTCGACCCGGGCTGCACGTTGACTTGAGACTGGGTGGCTCTTGGCCTGGGGCCCCAGCATTCCGCGAAGCGTGGACGCACTTTTGGGCTGCAGGGATGTTCCTGCAGCCCACGACCCTCGGCCGACGCAGAAAACGGCCGCGCGAGCATACGCTTACCAGCCTCGAACATATCCCTATCCCTAAGATCGACATGCCAAAAAGCGATGACAATCTTAGGGATGCGCCCTCAAACAATCAGGGGAACCCTGAGATTGGCATCGTGATGAGGAGATGCCCAGCATAGGGATAGGGATATGCTCCAGGCTGGTAGTACATGTTCGGAGTTCCGCGCGGATTGTTTCTGGTCGCCGCGCCTGGCGCGCTCCGCGCGCCGTGGAGGGGGTCCAGCGCCGATGGACGAGTCCGCTTGTGCAGCCTGCGGTTCCTCTGCTTTCGGAACCTCGTCGTGGTCGCTTGGGGGGGCTCTTGCGCCGGGGCGGGCGAGAAGAAGGCGATGTGCTCCAGCCTCCCCGCGTCAGGGGTCGATCTGAACGGCGGTTTGGTGATTCCGTGGGCCGTCTTCGTTTCGATGTCGTGTTGCCGCACAGCCGAACGGGAGATACAACGAGGGAGCACGAAAACGTGCGTCGTGAAACCAGCGACGGAAGCTTTTCAGCAAGTTTGTGTCTTTGGGGGGCCCTCACCGCGCTCCGCGGCCGTCAGCAGAACACTGGATGGTCCTGCTGCGAACATAATCACGACGTCGTGGTCTGGGTGGGAAAGGTCGGGGGCGGCTTTGAGGGGGGTGAAGACTAGGGATGGTGTGGATATCATGGAGGGGTCATGATCTCCCCAGATTGGATAGCAACTCCTGGCCCCCTCTGGTCCGCGCACATGCCTCGGGCCATGATTTGCACCCTCCCCTCTTGGACGTCCCCCGCGTGGCCTCTCCCGAAAATGGGGGTACGACAATTGGTGCATCGAGCTACTTCTGGCTCCGCCGCTACGTACCTCCGTCGATCCTCTGTGGCCGCGAAGCGCGGGAATGCCAGGTACGTGTGGCTGATTCCCTGACCCTCTTTATCTTTCCCCATCGATCGTATTTTGCCCGCTCCAACCAGGGTGGTTCGAGTTATCATCGGGGGCTCTTGGGCGTGGAGCGTGGAGGATCCCTCCCTCAGCATTCTTCGAGGGCAGGCACCTCCGGCGTCTTCGCGAGGCATCGTGGGGAAGACTTTGGGGCAAGGACAGGGAAAGGGGGGGTTACGAAATTTGCTGCATGCAGCTGGTTTTGGCCCGACTGAGGGGCCCACTCCTCGATACATGGCCGCCTCCGGCGCCGGGAGGCGCCGGGAAAATCAGCTACGTGAGCTGATTCTCAAACCCCCCCTTTGCTATCCCCCCCTTTCGCCCGGCCCGATCTAAGGGCCTGGCGGGTGCGTTGCGCAGCCCCGGTCCACCCTTGCCCACCCGCAGCAGGGCCGTGGAGCGGAGCCGAACGCCTTCCCCGCCCCGTGGAGCGCGGAGCGGCACGCGAGCAGCTCGCCGGGCACTGGGCACGGTGTCGTCGCCGGGGCCCGCCGCCGCGGAGCGGCAGGCAACAGTTCCTGGCCGTGCGTTGTGTCTACAGTGAGCAGCTTGAATAAGGAACACTTACTTTTCAATAGGGGCTCGGTCGTTCCTTAGATTTTACATGCGTTACTTACGGGTCCTAATTTCGTTATGTATTAGCTATCGTTCCTTATGCGTTATTCCTTGGGGTGAAAAGGGGCTTCGTTGGTCAGGCCGATGACTGTATTGGCTTGGAGGCGCGTGTCGCAGTGTTGCTGCCGGCGCCTGCGGCTGTCCAGTCGCCCTGCCCGTGAGCGCCCACACGTGGAAGTGCCGTTTCTCTCTCCCCCGTCATCTGCCTGCGCATCCCTCCCGCTCTCCCTCTTGGTGCTGGCGGCGGCAGGGCCACTCGCTAAGCATCGAAGCGACTATCTCACACAACCGGGGCAACGAATTGTGTTGAATCGCCCCGTGGACATTTGAGTTCGTCGGTTGCCTGTCTCCATGCCTCCACAAGATAGGAGACATACTTTATGTCTCCTACCCGCCATGTCATACCCCCTCAAACCCTGCTCAAGTGAAGCGCTGAGTACGGCAATATGTTTCCCCAGGACACGCTGTTGGACGTGTAGCCCATGTAATCCACCGCGGTGCTGAACGCAAGTCCTGCTGTGCGGAGAGAATGCACAATGGCAATACTTGCATCTGGCGGATTATTCTGGAAGTTCTTTAAAAGGGGGTGGGAAATCACGCAGAACTGCACACACCAACACACACACACACACTAACGCACCACGCACACGCAAACACATACATTTCCTCCAAAGCGCGGCTCAGTCCAGACTACGGAAGCGACGCGGGCTACGCTTACCTCGAATTCATTTCAGTTTGAAGAGGTGCGGAATCAGTGGTACTAAACGAGTGTACGTAAATCAGCTCAACAACCGGACGGTTCAGGAGGAGGGAGGCGCAGGAGGAGCAGGTGAGCCACACACACAAACACGCACACACACGCACACACGCACGCACACACACACACGCACACACACGCACACACGCACACACGCACACACGCACACACGCACACAAGCACACACGCACACAAGCACACACACGCACACACGCACACACGCACACACGCACACGCGCACACGCACACACGCGCACACGCGCACACGCGCACACACGCACACGTACACGCACACGCACATGCACATGCACGCATACACGCACACGCACACGCACACGCACACGCACACGCACTTGCACGCACACGCGCACACGCACGCGCACGCGCACGCGTACGCACACGCGCGCACGCACGCACGCACGCACGCACGCACGCACGCACGCACGCACGCACGCACGCACGCACGCACGCACGCACGCACGCACGCACGCACGCACGCACGCACGCACACACACACACACACACACGCACGCACGCACGCACACACACATACATACACAGATGCCTTCACACTTCCAAGGGCACGTAACGTTGACGTTCCCATCATGAAGTTGCTGCTCGTTCCCTCCACTTCTCGCCAGACTTCCGAAGCCCGTTCTCCTCCTGTCCAACTTCTTCCGTGCAGATGGTTCCAAACATTGCCCTTTTTTGTGTCCTTTCGCCCGCGAGCCCCGTCGGTGTCCAATGAATCAGCCTATGGCTTGCAGTTCCAAGAGCTAAGCGTATACGGGCAGGAACGTTCTCCCAGTGTGTCGCGCCGCTGGTTCTGGCCCACCACGCTTAGGCGCGACACGCCAAGCATGTCCCACTTCGCAGGCATCAACGTCCCGAGCTTTTCCCAGCATCTCGCTCCGCGACGCGCTATCCGCTTGCAGACCATAGCGTGTCGCCGCCGACGCGACACGTTAAGCGAACGTTCTTGACCGTATCTCTGTCTCTGTCTGCGTGATCATGCTCTGTTCTCCTGGCTCACGCTTCTCGAGGTGGTAGCACGAGCGCTGTAGGCATTCGCTGCCCGAGCAAGTGGCTAACCGGCTGCCGCATTCTTCCGCAAGATGGCGTTTGTCAAGGTTCTCAAGAACAAGGCCTACTTCAAGCGTTTCCAGGTCAAGAAGCGCCGCAGGCGTGAAGGCAAGACTGATTTCCATGCTCGCTGCAAGATGGTGCGGCAGGACAAGAACAAGTTCAACAATAAGAAATACCGTTTCATCGTGCGCATTACTAACAGCAGGGTCATCTGCCAGGTCGCATACGCCACCATCCGTGGTGACATGATAGTGGCCGCAGCGAGCAGCCACGAGCTGTCCAAGTACGGAATTCCAGCTGGCTACAAGAACTATGCTGCTTGCTACTGCACTGGACTGCTCGCTGCACGCCGTGTGCTCAAGAGCATGGGGCTTGACGAGACCTTCAAGGGGAAGGAAGAGATTGATGGCGAGGAATACCACGTTGAGGACGAGGAGAACGAGAGGCGGCCACTCAAGTGCATCCTGGACGTGGGACTGAGGCGCACCTGCGCAGGCGCGCGCATGTGGGGCGCGTTGAAGGGCGCCGTGGACGGCGGTCTCCACATTCCCCACAGCACCAAGAATTTCCCGGGCTACAAGGCACCCGACGAGAAGGGGCAGGACCCAGAGTACGACGCGGAAGCGCACAAGGATCGCATCTTCGGCGGGCACGTCAAGGAGTACATGGAGATGCTTGCGGAAGAGGATCCGACGAAGTACGAAGCTCATTTCGCTAAGTACATCGAGGCCGACATTGACGCGGACAAGCTCGAGGACATGTACAGCGATGCGCATGACAAGATCAAGGAGGACCCTTCCCCAGAGGAGAAGGAGAAGAAGGACGTCAGTCACGATCACAAGGGCAACAAGGTTACCAGCTCCGACGGCACTGAGCACGTCCGCAGTGTGAAGTTGTCGTTGAAGCAGCGCCGCGAGAAAGTGGCCGCAAAGATTCAGGCCGCGCAGGCGCGCATGCTGGCGGCAGAAGACTGAAGAGACGCTGCGAGTTGCCGGCTGGGCGTGCTGACCTGGATCGGTGCCGCCCAGGGGTGGAGAAAGTATCATCGACGACGTCTCCACCGTCGCCCCCATGGGCTCCACAAGTTACGATGGGGATCTTTGGGCCGTCGTGGTGGCTTTTCGGGTCGGCTCAGAGCCTCGTTGGGGCAGTCTCGGAGGCCGTGATGGAGCCACTGGTGGGTGGGCTCACATGTTGCCTCCCAGTCTCCACATTCTTTTCCACTGCTTCTCTTCGCCTGGAGGGACGCCTAGGATAGGATTCGTGCAAAGACGTCCGGCACGGGTCCAGAACTGAGGGGTAACCGGGGGGGGCAAGTGTTCTGTGATAAGATTGAGGGACATGCTCTTGCGACGTTTATCAACATATGTGAACTCTAAGTGGAAAGATGTTGCTTCCAGCATATGCCACCCCTGCCTATGCTATGGGTCCGTTCGCCCGGTGCCTCGGGCACAGCGCTGCTCACCAGCGTGGAGGCGCACAGCAAGGTTGAGTTGTCTGGTGTGGATGTCCGTGCCCAGTCCTCCTCTGAGCGCGCCAGTCTCGAAATGTGATGTTTTCCCCTTCACCGCCATTCCCGCACTCCCACTTCGGATGCAACTCCTGGGAGGTCAAATTCTGATTTTGCCCTGGTCCGAAATCCTGCTTAATCCGGCTAAATCCCGTTTGATCCCGCTTAATCCGGCTTGATCCCGCTTAATCCGGATTAACCCGGCTTAGTCCCGCTTGACCCGAGGCCCATTCTGGCCTAACAGCCCCCCAATGGGGCTAGTCCTCCCTACTCTTTCCGGCGAGAACCTCCCAGTAGTTGCCTCCTAACATTCCCGCACTCCCACGCTGCCCTCTGCCACCCGGGGCGATGGGGCCACTCTGGAGGCGGAAGCTGCGCGGTGCCAGCTGTGCGGTGCGATAGCTGTGTGGTGCCAGTTGTGCGGTGCAAGCGATGCGATGCAGCTTACTCCAGATTTCGTAATAAAAGGGAGGGGGTCTGGACCCTCCAAGACAAGCCATTTCAGACCCCCCCCCCGTGGGAGAACCCTCCAAAACATCGTCCCCAGACCCCCCCAGGCCCTCCAAGATAGCTTGGAAAAGCCCCTCCCCCCCCCCGAAATGAGACCCCCTCCCTTTTATTACGAAATCTGGAGTATGTGGTGCATGCTATGTGGTGCAAGCTGTATGGTTCAGTCTGCGTGGTGCAAGCTATTTGGAGCAGCACTTTTGGTGCAAGCCATGAGTTGCAAGCTATGCGGTACAATGTATGCAGTCCAGCCTATGTCGTGAAGGCTATGGGGCGCAATCAACAAGGGTCTTGGAAACACCAGCCAGCGAACGGGGCGTCCACTGGTTGCCCGACAGTGGCGACGGGGCGGAACACCAGAACCTCAGAACAGGAAAAGGTACCGACCCCGCTGCCCGCGCCTTTTTTGGGTCTCCTGGGAGGACTTCTGCACCACCGCTGGGTTCGCCTTGTAATCCTTGACGCTTCGCGTATCCCCACCAGCCCGGCCGCCGGTCGCCGCGCCGTGGCGTCCCCACCCGCCGGGATGTCTGCGCCGGTCTTTGGTGTCCAATTTGGGTCATTTTGTCCCTTGCATGTGCATTCGCCACTGCGGCCAATTATCTTCGTTTCGCGCCCCGTTCGTTGCCCCGCTTCTTGACCTTCGCCAGGGAGCCGCCAACCAAAACATCCCCACCAGCCCATTCAGAAACCGGTTGCCAGGCGAGTTGAAACGTTGTTGTGAGTGGTTTTTGGGGGTCTCTTGGGCTGGGTCTGAGAGGTCTCTTGGGGCCGTCTTGGCCCCCGTAGCTCAAGGAGGGGGGGGTCCTCAATTCAGGTCCCCCCCTCGGAGGCTGACACATTGCCTCGTGGGGCCTTCTTGGGGTGCTATTGGGGTGCTCTTGGGCGCTCTTGGGGCCATCCTAAGGCCCTCTTGGGCGCCTCTTGGGGCTCTCTTGGGCGCTCTTGGGGCCATCTCGAGGCCTCGGAAGCCCATCGGAAGCGAAAAGGCGAGAACGCAACAATCATTGATTTCCCATAGGCATTTAATCAATTTTGGCCTCTTGGGGGGTCCTTGGAGGGCCCAGAGGGCACCTGAAACCATCTTGGGGCCATTTAGGCCGTCTTCGATGTATGTGGGAGGCTATCTTAAGCCATCTTCAGCTCTCTTCGGCCATCTTGGAGGCCATCTCGGGCTCTCTGAGGCCCTCTTTGAGCAATATTTGGCAATCTTGGGCGCTCTAGTGCTTCGCGGGCCCCCCCTCCCAGGCCCAGGTGATGGGGTAGGAGTCAAGAGCCCGCCAGCCTTCTCGCTCACTCCCATCCGCCCTCCCAACACATACGTAGCACCCGAGCCTGGCCCGAGCCGCAGCATATGCAGCAGTCGTCTTTGGATGGGCAGCTATTGGGGGCGCATCTGCCTCCGCCGCCGCCGCCGCCGCCCGCCGCCGCCGCGGCCGCGTCGCCGCCGCCGCCGCCGCCGCTGTCCGCCGCCGCCGCCGCCACCGCGCCGCCCACCGCCGGCGGCGCCGCCGCCGCCCCCGGTGCCGAATCGCCGCCGCCGCATCCGCTGCCGCCGCAGTCGCTGCCGCCACCGCTGCCGCCGCCGCCGCCGCCGAAGACGCCCCCTAGATAGCAGGCCGTCTAGCTCACTCCCACCCGCCCTCCCAACACATAGTGACACCCGAGCCTGAGCATGTTCAGCGGTCGTCTTTGGGCGGACAGCTATTGGGAACCAAAATCGACCCCATGTGCGCGACGCTGGGCGAGGTGCGCCACGCGTGCCAAGCGCGCCATGCGCACCAGGCATCCCTGGGGCCCGAGCGTGCCAGGCACGCCTGGTGCGCCAGATGCGCCTCGTGCTCCGCGTGTGCCAGGTGTGCCGCATACTCCAGCCGCGCCAGGTGCGGGGCTCGCGCAGAGTGTGTCAGATGCGCCTGCGCACGTGACAGCACACTCGGGAAACATGCCGGCCGGCCCCCTACCATCCTTGTCGAAGACCAATGCCCATCATTGTGTTTGGTGGGCCTGCGACAGCAGGCCATACGCCACCACCCCGCCGTCACTGTCAAAATCCACTTGACAGTTGGGCCGCGCATGATCCAGATTCAGCCGCGAGGTGCATGTTGTATTGTTTTTTTTGTTAGGGATGGTTGCCCTGTGCACAGCGGGCACCATGCTGACAACTCCGCCCTCGATGTCAAAGAAAATGTGCAATGCTCGCGGGCCTCACGAACATGACTTACGGCTTTTCCCCAAAGTGTGCTTTGTATAATTCTTTTGACAGGGATAGTGGGGGTTAGGCCGCATCGGGTTGGCCGCGCATGCTTCAAATGTGGAGGCAGAGTGCGTGCTGTATTGTTTTTTGACAGGGATTGTGGGGTGGGGGCCCTCATGGTGTCCTCATTGTTCCTGGTTGGCTGCCTGTCGCCTGGGGCAGGAGGTGTATATCAATAAGGAATAGTGAAAAGACCCCCCCCGAGTTGGGGAAGGACGGGATGTGGTAAGAGAGAAGACGAACTTCGTTAAACCATCTAAGCCCAGAGAGTTGGTGGGATTCTGGTCAGAAGCGCCCTTGGACAGGTCTGGGCACTAGCGGTATTGGTAAGTTTTGGCCTTCCCATAATCGCCAGTCGTGTATTCAGACAAAGGAAGAAGCCCTGAATGCGAGCACTTCTGTTGGCGAGCACTCCGTTACAGGGGCCAGTCGTGCGCGAACAACATATCAATATCCGCGGCCTCGCGGGCCGGGCCCCAGGGCTGCGACCCCGCAGATACGGAGTTTTTTTTTTTTTTTTTTTTCCCAGATGCCCCGCGCGGAGTGCATCCTTACGACCATGTAACCGCGGGTTCGCGCCCCGGAATCCAGACCGCGAGGGCGCGGATATTTCTGGATATGTTTGCCGTTCGTGAAAAACAGCGGCGTCGCCAGCCAGTTATGCAGACCAAGTTTAGCGTTCCATCACAGGAACCAGGCGCTTCTATGAATAGCGGCAGGGATCTTCGGGGGATATGGAGGTAGGGACGGGATATGAATATCGAGCCCGTGATATCGATTTGCATGTTGATGAACACCTTTAATCGTGAAGAGAACGAATGTCTTTACATATGTCCTGTTTAGTTGTGGTCGCATACACGAGGAAGCGGGTGGCAACCAGCACAAACACATCAAGTGATTGTAACGTTGATATTCCCACTGTTCTCGGTTTCACCCTGTGCTATTACACATGTCACGCATCGATCATCTCACAAGTTCGAAAAGCAGCAACACGTGCACTTGCGATTAGGTGTAGTCTCCAATCATCCCCTCCATCCCTGGCCAGATCCTCGAGTCCCGTCCACCACCTGTTCAGCTTATAGTGTGCACTTGGTTTCGGAGAGGAGTACATCCGCTTACGATTGCGACCGCGAGGCAGTTTGGGTGTCTGATGATGCAGCATGTGGCTTCCAGTTGCAATAGTCAAGCATCTGTCTCTGTTTCTCTCCCGCTCTCTCGCTCTCTCTCTCTCTCTTTCTCTTGTTCTGATCCTCATGTCGTGCTTGTGACCCCTCATATTCCCGTGGCTCGCTTCTCGAGGTGGTAGCACGAGCGCTGTAGGCATTCTGCTGCCCGAGCAAGTGTGGCGAACCGGCTGCCGCATTCACCCGCGAGATGGCGTTTGTCAAGGTTCTCAAGAACAAGGCCTACTTCAAGCGTTTCCAGGTCAAGAAGCGCCGCAGGCGTGAAGGCAAGACTGATTTCCATGCTCGCTGCAAGATGGTGCGGCAGGACAAGAACAAGTTCAACAACAAGAAATACCGTTTCATCGTGCGCATAACCAACAGCAGGGTCATCTGCCAGGTCGCATACGCCACCATCCGTGGTGACATGATAGTGGCCGCAGCGAGCAGCCACGAGCTGTCCAAGTACGGAATTCCAGCTGGCTACAAGAACTACGCTGCTTGCTACTGCACTGGACTGCTCGCTGCGCGCCGTGTGCTCAAGAGCATGGGGCTTGACGAGACCTTCAAGGGGAAGGAAGAGATTGATGGCGAGGAATACCACGTTGAGGACGAGGAGAACGAGAGGCGGCCACTCAAGTGCATCCTGGACGTGGGACTGAGGCGCACCTGCGCAGGCGCGCGCATGTGGGGCGCGTTGAAGGGCGCCGTGGACGGCGGTCTCCACATTCCCCACAGCACCAAGAATTTCCCGGGCTACAAGGCACCCGACGAGAAGGGGCAGGACCCAGAGTACGACGCGGAAGCGCACAAGGATCGCATCTTCGGCGGGCACGTCAAGGAGTACATGGAGATGCTTGCGGAAGAGGATCCGACGAAGTACGAAGCTCATTTCGCCAAGTACATCGAGGCCGACATTGACGCGGACAAGCTCGAGGACATGTACAGCGATGCGCATGACAAGATCAAGGAGGACCCTTCCCCAGAGGAGAAGGAGAAGAAGGACGTCAGCCACGATCACAAGGGCAACAAGGTCACCAGCTCCGACGGCACCGAGCACGTCCGTAGTGTGAAGTTGTCGTTGAAGCAGCGTCGCGAGAAAGTGGCCGCAAAGATTCAGGCCGCGCAGGCGCGCATGCTGGCGGCAGAGGACTGAAGAGACGCTGCGAGTTGCCCGCTGGGCTTGCTGACCTGGAGCGCAAACGGTGTTGTTTGAGGGTGGAGAAAGTACCATCGACGACGCTTCTGGCGGGCCATTGATCCGAACAGTCACGTCGGGGTTCTGTGTGGCCGTCTTGGTGGTTTTCTTGGGGGCCGTCTCGGAGGCCATCTGATGGACCTAGAGAAGTCGCACTGGGCGATGCGGCGACTTGCTTGGGTGGTCTCATAGGTTGCCTCCCAGTCTCCACATCCTTTTCTCACTGCTTGTATTCGCCTAGAGGGACGTCCAGGGTAGGATTCGTGCGAAGACGTCTGGCACGGGCCTATCGCGCTGGGGCCCCAGGGGTTCTATACAAGGTTGAGGAAGAGCTGATGTACACGATGAACATCATCTTGTGCACACTCGAAATGAAAAATGCGTTGCTTCCAGCATGTGCCGCTCCTTCCTATATTGTCGGGTCGTTTGCACGATGCTTCGGGCACAGCGTTGCTCACTGGCGTGGAGGCGCGCAGCATGGCTTCGTTGCCTGGCGGTGATGCCCATTTCTTGAGCATGCCTTTTTCGAATTACGAGCCTCTCCTCTTCCCCCCCCTTTGTTTCGCTCTTTTGGGAACACGGGGCGAACCACCACCACCACTTGGGTGTGGGGGGGGGTGCAGGATGAGTTGGTGTACGGGATGCAGGTGTGCACGAGGTCCCGCGAGAGCGCCCGAAACGGTATGCACCACCGCATCCCCACCGGGGTGGTGGTGGTGGTGGTGGTGGTGCGTTCACTCCCCCTGCAATCTGCCCTCTGCCGTCGGCGACGGCGCGACCACGTGCTAATCACCTCAACAAGCAGCCCAGCGAATTCCGGTAACGAGTTTGTGAGAAATCCCCCCCCGGCGACATCAGAGTTTGTCGTTTGCGTCGCCCCGTGGTCTCGTGGATCATTAGGGGGACTATCCGCGCGACCATGCGGGCGCAAATGCGGTAGACCAGATTGGAGCCCATACGGGAGACCACATGGGCGACCATTCGCGAGGCCATGCGGGGGATCCGGCGGAAGACCACACGGGAGACAGTGCGGGAGGCCGTGCGGGAGACCTTGCGCGACACCATCTGGAAGACCACGCCGACGGCGGCGCGGGAAAACCGTGCGGGAGACCGGTCGGGAGAGCATGCGGGAGATGATGCAGGAGTCGACGCGGGGGGCCGTGCGGGAGACCATGCGAGAGACCGCACGGTAGGCCATACGGGAGCTCATACGGGCGGCCATGCAGGGTCGTTGCAGGAGACCAGACCGCAGACCGTACAGGAGGCCACACGTGAGACCATGTACCGGAGACCATTCGGAGGACCACACGGGAGCCCATATGGGGAGACTATGGAACGATGTATTCCAAGGGCTGGGGCGGACTTCACGGCCCTCCCACAGGCTGTTTCGGGAGAGCAGGCTTTCGTTTCAGCATGCCTGGGCTGTGGGTACCAAGCCTACTGGATGTCCGTTGGGATCTTGTGGAGGCAGTTTGGAGGCCTTCTCGGGGCCGTTTTGGGGCCTCTTGGGGCATCTTTTAGGCCTCTTGGGGGCCTCCTGTGGGCGTCTTGGGGCCTCTTGGGGCCTCCTGCTGGGGACCTCTTTAGGCGGAATTTTCGGTTTGTGTTCTCTCTCTTGGGCCGCTTTTAGGGCCTTGTTGGAGCCTTCTTGGGCCGTCTTGGGCGCCTCTTGGGCCGTCTTGGGGTGCTCTTATTCCGTCTTGGGGCCCTCGCAGAGACCTCTGTGGTCGTTGTTGGGGGTGGTCTTGGGGGCTCCTGGCCGTCTTGGAGCGTCGGAAAGCCGAAAAGGCGCGAACGCTCTTATCTTCAACAATCTACAGACTACCAATGGCTTTTGCTTCTTCGGAGGCCTCTTGGGGCGTCATGGATGCCTGTTGGATCGTCTTGGGGCGATCTTTCAGCGACTCGGGGCCCTCTTGGACCATCTTGGGGGTCTCGTGGAACTCTCTTGGCCCGTCTTCGGGCACTCTCAGGCCCGAACGAGTCATGCGATGACACTCCCCGAAGCCCAGGGGGCACGCGGGAAGCCCGGTTAATTTTCGGAGTTTGGGGTCCGAGACCTTTATGCAGGATTGAGGACTGAAGCTCCAGGGGTTCGGCAAAAGACCTGTGGACACGCCCACTCCGTGCTTAGAGGCACGGCGGTGGACAGATGGTTACATTCCGAAATCTGCATGTACATATGTTTGTGTATCGCTTGCACAGCAGTTGTCGTGTTTGTTTGTCATTGTTTGTTCATCTCTCTCTCTCTCTCTCTCGCTCTCCCCCTCTCTACACATATATATATATATATATATATATGTATCACTATCCAGGTGCATTGTCTTAATCGATCTACGTATGTACTTTCATTCCGATTTGTTCGATCGACCCACCAATGTATCAATCAATCTCGATATACATATATATATATATATCCCAGGGTACGGACAGGAACAGCAACATGCGGCGGGGAGAACATCTGCTCAATGCGATAAAGATAAGTTTTACATGTGTAATTTCATATATTCATGCAGACATGTAGATCGATGTTTACGTCAATCGCTGTGTGTATGTATGTATATACAATATACGTGTATGTGTATACATACACATACACACATATATATATATATATATATATATACATCGACAGCTTATCTGGTTAACTATCGTGTTCTTTATCTGGACGGATCTACCCTCGGCGCCTGTCGTGTTGCGTGGCCACGCTTCGCCGGTACGGTGCGGCGTTGTGGCCTCGGGCCGAGAGCCGAGTTTAGCCAAGTTTTGAGGAGACGGCAGGGGAACCGAAAAGCGTCCCCCGGACACATACCACCAAGCGGAAAGTGACATTTCTCCGCTCTGGAGAAAGGATGGCGCTTTAGAGCAGCTTCTGTTGCGGGCAATAGTTATATCCACATCCAGTCCGTCTTGGATTCTTGGGCTCTCTTCCCCAGAAACCGTAGACGCACTGGATATGGATAAAAATCTGGCCCCAAGAGGCTTGATTTTATCCATATCCAGTGCGCCTCGGCGTTGCGGCACCTCGTCTCAAAAAGTCCGCGACGCTCTGGATATGGATATAAGTACTACCCGCATCTGTGGGGTGGGTTGATGGCCCCCGGAACCCGAACGCGCAGTGATTTATGTTGGATTCTGGCCTCGGGAGCGCGAATACCTCTTTTAAGTTTCAAGGGGTCGGCTTCCGGGGCGCGAGCCTGGTATAATTACAAGGGGGATGGCTTTGGAAGCGCGAGCGCGTCGTAATGTATTAGATCGTGTGGGCTCAGGAGGGCGCACGCGGTGAGATTTTACTATGTGCTGTGGCCTCGAAGATGCAATTTGGTTTGACTTCAGGACAATCACCGGAGAACCTTTGGGATTACTACGGGACAACCACAGGTCAGCTAACCATCGGGACATCTATGGGGATGAACGCCCGGGCAACCATCAGAACAACCATGGGGACTACCATCGGGACAACCATCGGGACAACAACAGAGAGAAACAAGGGAACTAACATCAGAACAACCATTGGGACAACTATCGGGTCAATGACTGGGCAAGCAGAGGACAAACAAATAGCGGACAACCATCGGGATCATTCGGACAGCCATCGGAACAATTATAGGAACAAACATCGGGACAGTAATCGGGACAACGACGGGACCACCATCGGGTCAACGGCGGGACAGCCCCGGGGAACACAGCCCGGCGTGGGGCGGGACAGGCAAATAGTGCCCCCCGGCCTTAGCAAGGCCGGAAATGTCCTTCCTCGCTTTCGCTCGAGCGAAACATTAGGATGACCATGATCAAGAGATCAAGATGTCACGGGGCCTTGTCGATATCTGTCTTGGTCATGGTCATGGTCCAGGTTGACCATCGCCGATTCGCGGGATGGTCCACGCAGTGATGATGGCTAAGTTGGACAGTGGCCAAGATCGACACCGACGTTTCCGCGCTGAGTCTTGGTCGTGGTGGTCGTTTTCCGATTCTCTCCACTCGCGCAGTTTCGCCGCGCACGCACGCGCGAACCGAGGCCGTAACGATGTACCAGTCGGGCGTTTCCGTTTCACCTCGATTTCCCCCCCTTCTTCGACCTGCATAACTAGAGCCCGGGCTCTTCTTGGCTCGGCGATGACAAAGGGTGCGGTTACGCCATGGTGTGGTTTGCGATGTGCGTCGTTGGGTTAATTCGGGCACGTCCCTTTGCAGGAGGAATGTTCAAAAATTGTCAAAACATAGTCTGGGAACGATTTTTCGATTAATTATTTTGTGACCATGATTGAATCTGTTTTGATTATGTATTACTTTCTCGTCCAACACCCGCCTGTAGGAGGACGTACCCGACCTAAGCGTTGGGGCTTGGGGAACACCGCGTTGCCCTCGTCGGGCCTCCTCGCGGCGCGGCGGAGGTTTCCGTCTGCGGAGGTCCAATCGCCCGGGCCCCCCCAGGGCGCGCGCTGCAGACCGCACCCTTTTGGCCCTGGCGGAAGGCCTGCGGAAGATGTTGGCGGACGTACGCTTTGCGCGCCCAAGAGATGCGTGTTTTTCTTTGGGGGGGATCCGCGGCTCCCGGGACCGGCCACATGGCTCCTGGCGGGGGCGGGTTTTTCGAAGCAGAAAAACGCCATAAACCTTACAGTCGGGGCCCTGAGGAAGGAACCCTTTTCGTTGGGGAGGGGCTCCGTGTTCCTTAATAGTTTCGCAGCTTGTCTTAGGTTTTCCTTAGGTTTTCGATATGAAATCGAAGTTTAACTTATGGAAAATAGGGGCCTCGTTCCTTATTTAAGGTTCCTTAGGTCAACGCCCCGACTGTATTTTTTGGCGCTCCGCGCGGATTTCCTTGGATCCGCTCTGGCCCCCCCCCGGCGGCGCCACTGGCGCCGCCCCTGGCGCGCTCCGCGCGCCAGGGAGTGGGGTCCAGCGCAGATCCAAGAAATCCGCGCGGAGCGCCAAAGGTTTATGTTCAAGGCGTTGTTTCTTCTTGTAATTTTGGTCGAAGGTGTGTGAAAGCGGGTGGGAAACACACGCGTACATACATGTTCAGAGGATGGCCGCGTTGACACTCGCGCCTCTTAAGGACATGCAGCGAACATTGCACAGTCTCGAAGAGCAGCAGTCCGTCCACCTGCGATTCGGTGACTTCCCAATTCATCCATCCATTTCTCGCCAGACCCTCGAGTCCCGTCCACCACCACTTGGTCAGCCTGTGTTGCGCACTTGGTTTCAAAGCGCTCTCTCCGCTTCCCACTGCGACTACAAGGCAGCTTCATGTCTGATGACGCAGCCTGTGGAATCCTGTTTCGAACGTCAGGCGTCATGTTTGCATGTCATTGTTTTCTCTCTATGTTTCTGATTTTTCGGTAGTGGTTATCATCCC